ATTTTTTGACCAATCACCACTAAAATAACCAGTGAAGAGAGAAATATAAGAAAAATCATGTCTCATGATCATATAGCAACGACCAATATACGTTAATTATTACACTATATAATTTCCTATTTACTAAATTAAGACTTTCAATAACATCCACGATATCTTGGACTTCTATTCGTATCTCGGTCATTCGGTAGAACATAAGCTCCGCCCAAATCTATAAAAATTTGGGTGTGATTACCTCTTCCATGACCTTTTGGACTTCCAGAGCATGCGCTTCATTTGCAGCATCAGCTTCTGCATTATAGGACTGTCTTCCAAATGAATCGTTAATCGACTGCCCACGAACAAAAGCATCATAGCCCGATCTGCGATTGGCCAATGTAAACCCGTTTTTTTTTTGAAAAATCCCTCCCTCAATTTCAAGAAATTATGAATTGGGCGCACCTTTTTGTCTCCGTTAATGTTGACTGTCGAGACATTTGATAGCCGGCTGGAGGATCATCGCTAGAAAATCGATACAATCAATAAATATACTCTGAATACGAGTTCATGCGTCTCACTTCAAATCAATATCTTCCTCCTCCACCTCCTCCGCTTCAGGTATAAATTGCTGCGCTTTAACTAACTCATAGTACCTAAAAGAAGCAGTTTGGGACATCCCTATATAGCTCTAACCTCATGCTCCAAAAATCAATACATACCTTCCACGTAGTGCGACAAGTTGCTCATGGGTGCCTTGTTCTGCGATTTGTCCTTTTTCAAAGTAAACAATTTTGTCTGCGTCTCTAATTGTTGACAAACGATGAGCGATTACTATAGTCGATCTACCACGTGATGCGTTGTTAAGCGCTGACTGAAATCAATAGTTAATTCAATCGATTTTTGTCTTGATATTTTGTGATTTCATACTAAATTCCCTAAATCTGTTGATTTTTATTTAGCCTAAATTTCGCAAAAATTTGCACGGGATGTTGTGTTACCTGATATGCTACTCGCGAAAATAAATCCATTTTGCAAGTTGTGCCCCTATGATTACGGTAAGTGAACGTGGGTCAAAATCACAGAACTCATTGAATTAAAGGGTTAGTCCGTGCACTTATCATGATAATGACGTTTACCCAGTTAGTATTGGAATAACTTCCTAGTTTGTGATAGCACATCATATTTCTCCATTATACCATTTCTCAAGATTTTCACTATCGTTCACCTACCATATCCTTACAGTACAGCTCTACCATGCAAATTATATGATTTATGTGTTGAAGATGTCAATTAATTTACTTTCGTTTGATTTTTCAATTCACTATTTTCTGCTATTTGGAAATTTTAAAATTTTTCACAAATTCAACGTATTGGTTTTATTGATCAAACAGGCTTTTCTACCCTTACCTGAACAATGCTTTCACTTTGAGCGTCCAGTGCACTGGTAGCCTCATCCAGCAGGAGTACCTATATTAAAGCTTTCACCTCCTATTACTGTATTTGTGGATCCTGCCAAGAAATTCACCTTAGGATCGCGTGCCAATGTCCTTGCAATGGCAATGCGTTGTTTTTGACCTCCAGACAGTTGAACTCCACCATCTCCGATGTAAGTATTGTAACCCTGAAAAATCGATTATTGATTGGTTGGCTTCGCTTTCACTAGTGTATATATGTACTTGTACGCTCACCATTGGTAATTTAACGATAAAATCGTGAGCATTTGCCATCTTGCACACGTAGACCATCTGCTCCATGGAAAGATGAGGATTACCCATTTTAAGGTTTCCTTCTACCGTATCGTTGAAGAGACAGGGTTCCTATGTGGAAAAGTGCCGATGATATGGTCAATATTAAT